AAGGGTGGGTTGGATGGCTCCGTTTCGTCGAGATAGTCGATTTTTGTATATAATTCGTCCAATTCCGACGTACGGTTTGAAAGTTATGACTGTTTCTTCGTAGCAAGTTATTTTCCTCGATCGGGCCCGCATTTGAGCATGCGATTGTACCACTTTGACATAAACATGTTTGTCGTGTGTTCTACATCAATTATGAAATAGATTCTCAAAATATTAATATCAAAATATTCCTCCAAAATCATTTTTTTAGTACAAAGGACACTAAACTTGAAAGGATTTAAAGATTTACAAATCGAGACATAAACATGTTCAAGACTACCTGCTCCAAGATTGCCACTAGCGACTCTAGGATCATTGGAGTGAAGACTGAGTTGACATGATCATAGAATAGATCCAATTTAGCTAGCAAGAGCATCTGTAGTGAAGTTTGCCTCAAGCCAAACATGAGTAAGTCGATAATTTCCAGGCCGCAAGCAACTCATTAATGTGCATTAGCACTTCAATAAAGATATTATGACAAATTTCCGAGGATAAGCTAATATCAATCATATGAGAGAACGGAAGATATTAAGAACACATGAACACAAAGATATACGTGGTTCGGCTTGTAGCCTACGTACACGGGCGAAGGAGGAGAAAAGCTTTACTAATTGTGAGGATTACAACATGGATCTCTCAATCTCTCAATACCAAGTCATACCCCAAAAGTCTAATAAACTCTCAACTAAAGGAACAGAAGAGAAGAATATCAAATAAGCTTCACAAAAAAACTCTCTCTTCTTTATTGGTGCTCTGAAGATTAATACATCTAATTGGCTTGAAAGACTATTCTTATATAGCATTGAAGATCTCAACTCCTTGTTGTCTAAGGAATAAGAGTTCTAATAGGAATAGAAGTCTACATGTCCTAAAACCCAACAAGAGTTCAAGTAGGAATAAGTCTATAATATGATTGGTTGTGTAAAATCTAATGTAAGTAGGACCCTTGATCAAACCAAATCAACCTAAAAAAAAGAACTCTCAAAGCAATATGGATTTGAGTATTTGAGGCAACCTATAACAAATCTCCATATTGACTCAAATGTGTAGAATATTGCTCACTTCAAAATAAGCTAACTTACTCCACCTTCTCCAATAGCCCCGCAGGGCATCTAAGTGTGACATGTATCGATAAAGTCCAAGCCCTGCTTGAACTTGCTAACTGAAAGAGGCCTCCTCAACAAATCGACTGAATTGTCCGCACGACGAACGTAAATATTAGTGAAGTCATCACCTAAAGTGGCTCCTGAATAGCTGAATGGCACAAAATTGTAAACCGACAATTCATAAGCTATTGTATCTTCATATCTTCGTGGTGGTCGAATATCTTGTCTAGACCGATCTCTAGCAATTAATAGTGTATTCTCGCTCTTCCTGTAGCTGCTGAGGTGCTTCGTCTACTTGAACGGGGTATGGCTACTGAACTCCTATAGTCTTATCTTGTTGAAGAGCTGAATCACGAATTTCTAACTCCACCTTATGTCCTGTAGTGCGCGCATTATCAACAAATGAAACTGATGACCGTTTCTGGTGGAACATAGCAGATTCAACAAAAATAACATCACAGCTAATAGTAACCTTAGGAGACTTCGGATCAGGACACCATAACCTAAAACCCTTAACACCCGATGCATAACCTAGGAATATGCACTTCTTCGCTCACGGCTCAAGTTTCCTTTGACTAACATGCACATATGTAGGACAACCAAATATTTTAAGATTAGAATAATATGCAGGCTTACCGGACCAAACTTTCTTTGGAGTTTTACAACTAATAGCAGTAGATGGAGACTGATTCACTAAGTAAAAAGCCATATTCACTGCTTCCGCCCAGTATTCCTTATCTAAACCTATATTGAACATCACACAACAAGCTTTATCTAATAGAGTTCTGTTCATACGTTCTACCACTCCATTTTATTGCTGCGTGCGAGGGACTGTACGATGTCTAACGATTCACTTCTTCTTACAGAACTCATTAAATTCTTCTCCATAAAACTCAAGGCCATTATCAGTTCTAAGCCTCTTAATCAGCCTCCTAGTCTGCTTCTCAATCAAAGACTTCCCCTGCTTGAAAGTCACAAATACCTTATATTTATGTCACAAAAAGTAGACTCAAACCTTTCTGGAGTAGTCATTAATGAAGGTCAACAAATATCTCAAACTATCACCCTTCGAGGCAACTTAAGAAGGTCCCCAAAGATCTGAATGGATATAATCCAAAGTACCTTTAGTCTGATACACTACTGTAGTGAAGCTAACTCTTTTCTTCTTCCCAAAGATACAATGCTCGCAGAATCCTATTTTTCTGTACCCTGTCCACATAAAAGACCCTTCTTACTCAACTAGGTCAATCCGTGCTCACTCATATGACCAAGTCTCATATGTTATAATCTGGTAGTATCAACTCCTAACATCAATGATGCAACTGCAGCCGAGCCGATAACAGTAGAACCCTTCAATACATACAAGCTGTCGATCTTCTTTCCTTTCATAACCACAAGAGAGCCTTTTGTAACCCTAAGAACTCTACCTTTACTTGAAAAATAGCACCCAATGCTAGCAAGAGTGCCTAAAGAGATGAGATTTTTCCTTAAACCTGGAACATGCCTAACATCTGTCAAAGTCCTGATGACTCCATCATGCATCTTAATCTGAATTGCGTCTTTCCTAACAGTCTTGCATGAGGGGTTGTTCCCCATAAAAACAATTCCACCATCAATAGCTTCATAAGTGGTGAAGCAGTCCCGATTAGGACACATATGATAGGAACAACCTGAATTTAAATTCCAATCATCTATGCTCTTGTTTATATCATCTGTAGCCAACAAAATTATATCTACAGCAATATCAACTTCAGCGGAGTCCTCATTTGATTTTCCTTCATACTCTTCTTGCTTATTTTTGTTCTTCAATCTGTAACAATCGGTCTTGATGTGCCCTTTCTTCTTGCAATATCTGTAGGTTAGATTCCTACGCTTCGACTTATACCTATTACCTCCAAAACCTCTTTCTTCCACTCTTCCTCGAACAAATAAGCCATCAGCTTTATCGTCACTTTCACTTGTGGTTAACTCTTTATTGATGTTCCCCTTATTCAATAAGTTCTCTTTGATGTCCTTAATACCTATAGAATCTCGACCATAAATCATAGTATTCCTGAAGTGCTTATAGGAAGGCGACAAAGAACACAATAACAATAGGGCTTGATCTTCATCATCGATTTTAACATTAATCTTTCTCAAATCTATAATCATAGAATTAAATTCACCAATATGAGATTTGATGGGTGTTCCTTCTGACATCCGAAGTGTGTATAAACGCTGCTTCAAGAGGAAGCGATTAGTGAGCAACTTCGTCAAATATAAATTCTCCAAATTAGACCATAAATTAGCTGTTGTCTTCTTTGTGAGAACTTCTTGCAAAACTTCATTTGTCAAACATAACTGGATTGCTGTGAGAGCTCTATCATCCAACTCGTTCCAATCTTCCTCCTCCATATTAGCTGATTTCTTCGACTTCCCGAACAAAGCCTTTTTCAATTCACTCTGTGTCAATACGGCGATCATCCTAACTTGCTAAAGGTTGAAACTGATGTTGTCGTCACTTCTTGATATCCCACTTCGTAGTAATTATCATCATCTTCTCATCCGATCGATAGTTGAGGGCTCTGATACTAATTTGTTATGATAAATTCTCAGAATAAGCTAATATCAATCACACGAGAGCACGAAAATATCAAGGACACACGAACACAAAGATATACACGGTTCGGCTTGTAGCCTACTTCCACGGGCGAAGGAGGAGAAAAACTTTACTAATTATCCAAGTCAGACCCCAAAAGCCTAATACAACTCTCAACTAAAGGAACAAAAGAAAAGAATATCAAATAGGCTTCACAAAAGAACTTTCTCTTCTTGATTGGTGCTATGAAGATTGATGCATCTAATTGGCTTGAAAGACTGTTCTTATATAGCCTTGAAGATCCCAACTCCTTATTGTCTAAGGAATAAGAGTTCTAATAGCAATAGAAGTCCACATGTCCTAAAACCCAACAAGTGTCCAAGTAGGAATAAATCTATATGATTGGTTGTGCAAAGTTTAATGTAAGTAGAACTCTTGATCAAACCAAACCAACATAAAAAAAAACTCCCAAAGTAATATGGATTTAGTATTTGAGGAAACCTATAACAAAAGAGAGATGTATCCTCTTTCTTGTTGATCAACTTAATGGCCTTCAAAGAATCAGTTTCAAGAATTGTCCGCTTGTAACCATTATTCTATGCAATGACTAGACCTTTGGAAGTTGCTTGTAATCCATATTCCTCCAAAATCTTTGAAGTACACCAAATAATCCTTCGAGTTGAAATATGTATCCGTGCTTGAAGAAAAAAGAAAATTATTGTATCTTCATCTTCAAGTAATAAAGAAAATTTTCAGTTGTCTCATGGATGTCATCACATTGCCAAACCACATTAAAATCTTCTTATTTTCTATGATTTGATCATTTGTTCTTCATTTTTATCAAAAAAAAAATCTAGAATAAACCCTAAAAGTCGCAACATAGCATACCCAATCCAGGTTGGATTATAAAAGGAATATTAACATGGATCTGTCTGCTGGAACTTAAAAATTCTAGGGATTTATTTTATAATATCAATACATTGGGGATGGGATGGAGTGCGATGCTGAGGTAGGATTGGGGACTATTTCAAAATATCCATTATTTTGGGGCCAGTGTGGTTTACGTTCCAATTTGGTACGCTAAACTCATGTTTGGGAAAAAAAAGGGTCGGCCTTAAACTTGTTTTGAGGTCAAATTTTGGCCTTAAGACTGTTGTTGTTTTCTCTCACCCAAACATAATTGGTTTGGCCTTACGTTCTAATTCTTTATTATTCCACTTTGTCATTCATTCGCAAGATATATAGTTCTTGATATATAATCCGTACAAGACAGTATATGACAAAAGAAACCTTATCTTATTTATTTGTTATTGCAACAAAGAAGCGAACAACGCATTGCTTTCGGGCACATACAAACTGATGACGCTCACGCAACATAAAGTTACAATTCCAGTCAAATTCCTCGTTATTCAAACGCATACCATCACAATAGAAATATAAGCACTGTATTTAAGCGTAGGCAGTTGGGTTGGCCAGGAGGTAAGCTTCGGCTGCCTTCATGTGGTTTGTTATCCCCTCCTTCGCCTTTGCACTCTCATCGGCGACACCAGGGAGAATCTTGTAGGTAGCGGTCACCTTGACGACGCATCCACCATTGCTCGAGGGCTCGAACTTGAAGTGAGTGGTGGCAGATTCAAACATCTTACCCAAACCTCCGCCTTCCACAAGGGTCTGCTTCACCTCGAACTTGTCATGGTCTATGAAATCCAGGCGTTCCTTCACATAGCTGAAAGGTAATGCTATACACACGAAAGGAAAAGAAAAAAAAATTAGGATTTGATATTAAATCAATTCTACTAGTGAAATTTAATATTTTTGTCCCTGTAACAAAGTTGTCTCACGTCCATTTGGTTGTGTGGGGTATATATTGTTCGGAAAAAGGCATGGAGTGAAATTTAATCCCACATCGGATAGAGAGTAAGATGGGTAGATGGTTAAATATGCTTGGACTCATGACTCAATATGGATTAGTTCTTTTGAGTCAATTGTGTCAAAGTAGATTATCAATGGGCCTTTATAAAAGTCATAACAAATTGGTACCACAGCCGAAGGTTCAAGGGGCCGTTTGTTGGATACTCTCGATGCTTCGAGATTCTGTTGTTGCATGAGTTAGAGCTCAAGGTAGAGTGGATGTGGCATTACGTTATAACTCTCTTTGGTGTAACTTGGACCAGCAAGGGTTCGGGCTCCCTTGAGTGCATATGCTGGCACATTTGGCACCAATGATTTCGTTCGATCTTGTATCCAGACTCTAGTTGGGCTCGCCTGGATCCGAGCCAAGGTAGTGATGTGTAAGGATGTGAGGTTTGGTTTGGAAAAAGGGACGGTGTAAAATTTAGTCACACATAGGATATAGAGTATAAGATGGATGGATGGTGAAGTATGCATGTAGTTATGGCTCAATAAGTAGATTAGCGACCGAGTAAAATGGACCTAAAAATATAATACAAAATTTAAGAGAAAAGCGTAACGAAATACACATAATTAATAGGTTAGAATTCTTACCGGGGTTGTTAATCTTGATCTCTCGGACGGCTCCAACAGCTCCATCTCCAGACACCACAGAACCACTGGCGATGAAATCGGGCGCAATCTTAGGGCCGAGGTTGTGCCAGTCCAGCATTGCAGCCTTGAACAGCCTCCCTGCGGGGACATTGGCAGCGACCTCGTGGCTCCAGCTTCCCGAACTCATGTTTTCCTATCCGCTGTTACGTACTAGCAATGAATGTTTGGTTTGCCTATTTGAGAGATGGACGTGTAAAGAGCTGGGCGAGATTGGGCGTTTTATATATAGAGTTTTGGAAATGGTAGGTGGTCACCAAATTAATTAGGATGGGTGCCAATGTTTCAAAGATTTTCTCTAATTCTAAAAAGGGTGCATGCCCATCCAACGTGAAGGTTGGCTGCATCTGACACCTTAATGAGGAAAACAGGGAGAACGGTTTATCTTTGAAGAAAAGTCAATATTTCAACATGTGCTGTGGGGAAAATATGATTTGCTTTTCGACTTGTAGTAGGCTTCTAGAATTTAGCATTTTGATATTCTTTCCCCACTCTTATTGTCAAGAGGGAAGCTAGTTCGTCCCGCTGAATGTAGACACGAAGTTCATGGCAAAATACAAGCGTAGGTTAGATTTTGTTGGAAAAAGGTAATACATATACATTTGACTGAATTAACAACTTTCGCATACGGAGATTCTTATTAAACCAAACTAGCTTACGCATAGTGTGCATTCCTCACACGACTTCACATATTTGAAGAAAAATTAAGAATTATTTATTTCCATAATAGATCATAACTAAATTAAGAATGAACAGCTTAGGATAATGAAAGGAAAAACAAGGTAGAATCAAAGTAGATAATGAAAGTCAAAGAACCACACACAAGGTCAGGAGGTAATTTCTAGGATTCCTTTTTCTTGACTAATTTCGCAATCATATCTATTATCTTCTGTAGTTCTTTGACAATAGCTGCAGGCACATCAATGCACCTTCTAGATGGAGGCTAACTGAAAGAGATGTTGGCGAGGAAGGCACTTGAGCATTTAACCATCTGTAGATCCATGTCTAATGGACTCTATTATATTAGATTTTTGAGTTTATATACATGTACTTTACGTTAGAATATAAAATTAAAACCCTCGATCAATTCTCATCATAATTTTAGAGTTTTGATATAATGACAGATTTAAGATGACATCTGAACAACCTAATTTGAACCTAGGTTGCCACAAATCTAGAGTTGAATTTAAAAAAAAATTGATACCGCTCACTACGAGTCTATGCTTTTGAAAAAGCGAGGTCAATCAGCCAGCATGTTAGAATATCTACATTTTTAGAGCATCTTACGTTTATTTATTTTTAGTAAAAAATCGAGTAAGATGGATATATGGTTAAATATACTTGGACTCATGACTGAAATTGTTGTGCGCAGCGAAAATTTCGGCAGAGTTTCTGGTGCACAATAATAGAGAAAGATCAATAAGAATTCTTGTTTCTCAAAGGGAACAATAATCTGAAGCCTAATATCTCATCAAAGTGGGATATTAGCTCTTCCTCTTGTCAGCTCTAGGACTGCGCGTCGAGGGATCCTAAAAACTATTACAATGGCCACAAACTCAAACAAACTAATTTTACGTGGTTCGGCAAACTGCCTACGTCCACGGGGCAAGGAGGGGGGAGATCTACTATTAGAGGGAGAGAATAGAACTAGGGTTTATAATCACTCAATCTAAACCCTCAAACAATCTCTCTCTCACACACAAATATCTATCAGTTTTTCTCTCAAAAGAAACAGCCGCCGGAACAACACGCAGCCCAAAACTCACTTTTGCACGCTGCCTTTTTTCCTGCCTCTGCACGCCGCCAAAAAGAAAAACTGCTGACTGCTACCCTCCTTCGCACACCATCCAAAAACCCTAGAAACTAGGCTTTTATAGACATCTGCTGTGTTTTCGGGTGGACCAGCCAAAAAATCCGCTGGTCTCTTAGGCTCTTCACGCGGAATCCAAGAGAACCAGATCTTTTCACGTGTCCTTGCTTTTTCACACGTTTTGTGGTCCACACACCGAAATAATCTCTTCACTTGGGCTCCTCTGTGCGAATTTTCTCTTCACCCACGTGAAGGTCTTCACGTGAGTGGACCCCCTTTTCTGCAAACCATTACTCGACCACAAACACCGATCCTCCTCCAGCAAGGCACGGTCTTCCAAATTTGTCACCCTATCTAGTTGCCCCAAGATTTTCTTTCCAACGAAGTGTCTCGAAATGCCGTGAGCTCGGCTCCAATGCAGAAACAGGTCCATCTTGTACCTCCCATCAAAACCAGAATGGAGTACCTTCACCTTTCTGTCTATCACACACTTCTTCAATCTGTTGGATACTACTAGGACTTTCTCTAAAGGGGATTTGGTTGTAACCCAAACATGCCTAGAACAGTCACCAACAAAGGAAACCAAACTTCTATTACCTCCCAATGATGCTCTATTGGAAGGCCCCCAAACATCCACGTGAACTCCTCTAGAACGACCCTTAGCACGGTGAATAGAGGTGACAAACTTCACCTCGGTCTTCTTGCTCACATTAACATGTTCACTGGACTTCAAACTACAGGTCTTCGCACCCTCTTTCAATCTATGCGAGAAATCAATACTGGAATGGCCAAGCCCCAAATGCCGCAGTCTAGTCGAATCAACAGAAGTCGCCAGTTCTCCACCTGCCTACTGTAATGGCCAAGCCCCAAATGCCGCAGTCTAGTCGAATCAACAGAAGTCGTCAGCTCTCTACCTGCCACTATATCTCCAGTCAAGTAATACAGGTTATTCCTCCTGACGCCATTCATCACAATCCGAGAGTCTTCCACAATCTTGAGAACCATGTCCTCAATTCGAACATTCAGATCCTCTCCAACCAAAGCTCCAATTGAGATCAAGTTCTTCCTCAAAGAAGAAACATATCTCACATCATTTAACTCCCTAACAGTCCCGTCAAACATTTTTATGCGAATTCTTCCTATCCCAAGGATCTGGCATGCACAGTTATCAGCCATGTACACCACACCACTATCCACCAGTTTCTCAAAACTGGAGAACCATTCCCTTATAGGACACACATGATAGGTCGCACCACTATCCAACATCCATTCAGATTCCTCCGAATAGCTATCTGTAGGACTGATAGAAAGCGAATAAATAGAAGAGTCAGAATTATTAGCATCCGATACAATGTTTGCTTCTGATGATGGTTGCTTCCCTTTTCCCTTCTGCTTATTCTTCATCCATTCGTCGAGCTTTGGACAGTCTTTCTTCCAATGACCAGTATCCTTGCACCAAGCACACTGATCTTTTCCTACTCTAGACTGTGACTTCCAATTCTTTCAGTTCGGATTCTTCCCTCTTGCGACCAACGCCTCTGCTACCGACTCAGTCGAAGTCTCCTTATCCTTCTTCCGAAGCTGATAATTTACCAGTGCAGCAGTGACCTCACTATACGCAAGAGATGACTTCCCATTAATCAGAGTAACGCATTGTCCTCATCTTCAATCATGACATCCACATTCGCCAAATCCGCAAGAAGCTTTGTGTAGGTGTTCATGTGATCTCTAATTGAGGTTCCCTTCTTTAACTGGAAACGATAAAGTCTCCTCTTCAAATGCAAGCAGTTCTCAACACTCTTTGTCAGATACTTGCTTTCGAAAATCTCCTAAATCTTCTTTGCAGAAATCTCATTCATCACATCATATTTTAGATCTTGAGTCAAACAAGATCTAATCACACCATACGCCGTTCGACTCATCTTCTTCCAAACCTTCTCTTCAATCTCATCTGGCTTGCCATCTAACTCCAAAGTATCCTCCAAATTCTGCGCGTTCAGCGCATCCAAAACCTCGCATCTCCATAATCCAAAGTTGTTTGTGCCATTAAACTTTTCCACATCTATCTTTATAGAGTGGATATTCAAACTCTGAATGGTCTTCACGCCAGAAGCACCACCCTCGACACCCGAAGCACCTTCTTTCCCCGACATCTTTCTCAACGCACCAACCAACGAAGAATAGATTCAAAACTGAAAAGATAGAGTCTTTAACCAAAAGATCCCACCTTTATCACCAAACGAAGCCCTGGACGAGCCTCCAAATTGATCTACTACTCTAACCAAACCCTAGATCTGGAATCTGGGCTCTGATACCGCTTGTTGTGCGCAGCAAAAATTTCGGCAGAGTTTCTGGTGCACAATAATAGAGAAAGATCAATAAGAATTCTTGTTTCTCAAAAGGAACAAGAATCTGAAGCCTAATATCTCATCAAAGTGGGATATTAGCTCTTCCTCTCGTCAACTCTAGGACTGCGCGTCGAGGGATCCTAAAAACTTTTACAATGGCCACAAACTCAAACACACTAATTTTACGTGGTTCTACAAATTGCCTACGTCCACAGGGTAAGGAGGGGGGAGATCTACTATTAGAGGGAGAGAATAGAACTAGGGTTTACAATCACTCAATCTAAACCCTCAAACAATCTCTCTCTCACACACAAATATCTATCAGTTTTCCTCTCAAAAGAAACAGCCGCCGGAACAACATGCAGCCCAAAACTCACTTTTGCACGCTGCCTTTTTCCCTGCCTCTGCACGCCGCCAAAAAGAAAAACTGCTGACTGCTACCCTCCTTCGCACACCATCCAAAAACCCTAGAAACTAGGCTTTTATAAACATCTGCTGTGTTTTCGGGTGGACCAGCCAAAAAATCCGCTGGTCTCTTAGGCTCTTCACGCGGAATCCAAGAGAACCAGATCTTTTCACGTGTCCTTGCTTTTTCACATGTTTTGTGGTCCCCACACCGAAATAATCTCTTCACTTGGGCTCCTCTGCGCGAATTTTCTCTTCACCCACGTGAAGGTCTTCACGTGAGTGGACCCCCATGTTGGACCCTAGAGGGGGGGTGATTAGGGTCAAGAGGCTCTAATATGCAATTAAAAATCAGCACAAGCAAACCAAAAAACAACAATGCGATAAAAGTAAGAAAGATAAGGTTAGGAGTTCGTTATCCTTGACGCGCGATGTGTTAACGAGGTTCGGCCCTCTGGCCTACGTCCCCGCTCCCCACTCTCGAGGAGAAATCCACTACACACCCGGTTTGGAAGCCGGAACTTCGTCTACACAGCGATCTCCACAGATCTCTCTCACTACACAGTTTGATCTCACAGATCACACTCCCTCACAGTAGATCTCCACAGATCTCACTCACACAGCAGAAGAAAGAAATGTAAGAACCTCT